ATGTATATGTGTTGTGTACATTAATGTAGCCGTTTAATATCTGCAGCTTGACATATGTATATGTGTTGTGTACATTAATGTAGCCGTTTAATATCTGCAGCTTGACATGTGTAAATGTGTTGTGTACATTAATGTAGCCGTTTATATCTGCAGCTATACACATGCATATGTATCTGTTGTCTACATTAATGTAGCAGTTTAATATTAGCAGCTTGACATGTGTAAATGTGTTGTCTACATTAATGTAGCAGTTTAATATTAGCAGCTATACACATGCATATATATATCTGTTGTCTACATTGACGTAGCAGTTAAATATTAGCAGCTAAACACATGCATATATATCTGTCGTCTACATTGATGTAGCAGTTGAATATTAGCAGCTAAACACATGCATATATATCTGTTGTAACGATTTAATAACTGCGGTTAGATGCGTTCATGTTTAACCGTTTTTCTTACATGGTCCGATATTGCGACCCAAGTTACTATAGAAAATGAGCAGTAACTATTTAAATACATTAAACAATTGCAAAATGCATAAATGAAAGATTTTACGAATATAATGCATTTGTTTATTTATAATTAAAATGTTGTTTTGTCCAGAACGGTAAGGTTTTAGTCTTAAACCACAACAGGGGTTGTAGATTGGATTTATATATCTATCAATTCACCACAAATCCATTGAAATTTGAAATATAATGCTTTTAGTGTCATTATTTGTTTCGCGGCTCGGCATGGCCAGGCGGTTAGGGCGCTCGAGTCGCAATCTGTGGGTCGCGGGTTCGAATCCCCGTCACACCAAACATGCTCGCCCTTTCAGCCATGGGGGCGTTATAATGTGACGGTCAATCCCACTATTCCTTGGTAAAAGAGTAACCCAAGAGTTGGCGGTGGGTGGTGATGACTAGCTGCCCTCCCTCTAGTCTTACACTCCTAAATTAGGGACGGCTAGCGCAGATAGCCCTCGTGTAGCTTTGCGGAAATTCATAACAAACAAAATATTATTCGTATTACCAATACAGAAATTAGGTTAACCCTTACATATTATTGAATTTCATATTTCAAAGGTTGAAATACTTTATTAAAGGGTTAAAATTAACCGTATTCCTCATTCAGATTGTAAGTTAAGTTTAACCTTTTTCTCATTCAGGTTGTGGATTAATTTTAATTGCTTCTTCTCCAAGTTTGCAATTTAATTTCAATTCCTTCCACAAAGAGGTTGAAGATTATCATTAGCCCTTTTCTTAACCAGTTCTTAGATTAATTTTAACCATTTTCCCCACACTGGCTGTGATTAACTCTAGCTCTTTCGTCTTCCAGTTTGTTGATAAATTGTTATTCTTTCAAACAAGTTGTGTATAAACCTTTTCTTCTCCTAGTCTATGGATTAATTTTATCTCTTTCTTTACATAGATTTCGTATTAATTTGAACCATTTTCCTGCACATGTTGTGGGTTAATTTCAACCCTATCTTCACAAAATCTGTCACTTGCTCGCCAGTAAACTTGAACAAGTGAAACTCTCTTCAGACCCATCTGGTGGTAAAAAAACAAAATTGTCTTTTTGCAAACGCGTGATTAATAATTCATATTTACGAATGAGAGTATAAATGAGATAGAAGGTCAAAAAGATATAAAAGTAAAATTACATCATAAAAACCCAAGGTACAATATATACATAGTATTATAAAAATACAAACATATAATGCGATAAAAGTATGATAGCATTTACAGTAAATTATGACAGTGTTTGCAGTAAATAATGAAAGCGTTTATAAGCTATGATTTGTTCGAATGAAAATATTATAGATATTCTGCTTGTATTTGAAACCTCATCCGCACTTTGTTGCCATGGGTGCGTTATAAGAGTGATCAAATACCACTATTCCATTAGAGTAGCTTAAGAGTTGTTGGTGGAAGATGTTGACTAGCTGCTTCTTTAAGAATTGTTGGTGGAAGCTTTTGACTAGCTGCTTCTCTTCCAGTCTATCAGTTGAAAATTAGGGACGGCTAAAGTAGCCTTTGTGTAGTTTTGTTGGAATTTCCGAAACAAATAAATTGATCCGTACAACTAATAATGTTGAATTTTGGCTGTGTTCTGTGATATCACGTCTGCTGTCGTAAGCGTTTTTTTATTTGCGTTATTTTCAAGTTGAGTCGACAAAGCTGTATATTTCAAATATAGCGTCGCGGGAGTTGAGTAGAGTGTAACAATTCACGTGTTGAACACACCAAGATGGGATTTTATTTTTAACATTCTACCTTCAATATTTAGTCTGTAGTTTTGCGTATTAATATTGACACGGGTTTGCAAAATGAAACGTTTCTCACAAAACTCATCTTCTATGGTGGTTTCAATCTAGATGATTTTTTACTTTCAAATTATGACTAGTTCATTCAAATTACTTTAACATCGACAAAAAATAGTTAGATCCTTAAGCCTACTGTATGCCAACCGCAAATCAATGCTTTGATATAATAGAAAATATATTTCTGAAATCACACGTCAAAGGATTGTTTTGATACAATAAAAAATAAATTCTGAAAATATGATAACTTATCAAAACAAGTTCAGTACAGAAAACCCTTAATTAACGATAGTGTTGGTAGTCAAGCCAATCGAGCAGGAAATAGTGACTGGGTTATTAACTGTTCACTACGTAAGAGCCAAGATATAATTTCATTTCCTTATCTGCTCCCCCACCCCTTCTCTCACACTAGATATGAAAGTAACATACAGTATTTTGTTGAAAAATGTTTGTCATGTAACTGGTTTACAAATGAACTTGAATAATTACGAAAAAACGTCTTAGTCGTAGATCAACTTCGTCGTACAAAATATTAATCAATGCTATTTTTAAACTTTAGCTTTCCTACTTCAAGTGGAAGCTTTGTTTGTTTGAATTTATGCACAAAGCTACACAATGGGCTATCTGTGCTCTGCCCACCACGGGTATCGAAACCCGGTTTCTAGCATTGTAAGTTCGCAGACATACCGCTGTGCCACTGGGGGGCCAAGTGGAAGCTGTGTACATATAGCTTTGAAATAGAATAACACAGAAAAAGTATCTTTAGGTTTACGTTGTCTATTAAAAGTCAAATAAAAGCTGTAACGAAAAAAAAAGTTTTTTATTGTACTTAAGCGCAAAGCAACACCCTAAGGTATCTGTGCTCTGCCCACCAGGGGTATCGAAACCCGGTTTCTAGCGTTATAAGGCCGCAGACATACCACTATGGCACTGGGGTGTGTTATTTTCTTGAAGTTATTTTATTTCTATGAGCAGTTACCTTAAATACTTTTCGATTTGAGAAGACAGAACCAAAGCAGGTAAATAAAATGCATAAACATTTCTTTGTGATTTCAAATTTATATGGATGAACTGCTTTTAAATTTGATATTTTAGATAATGAATGAAAGTTTACCCACCTTATAATCAAATGAACTGAAGCAAGTAGTCCCTCTCGAGTCTTGTTTTTCCACCCACGGCGAAAGAAGAAGAACGTGTTTAAAAGAATGAATAATCTCTCATTTCTTCGCAGTAGTTTTGGTCAGAAAGTAGAAGTGAATCACCCCTAGGAATCTGGGAGAAAGTCACTGATTTGGCGTCAGGCTCCTCCCTTGAAAGGTTTGAGCGTTTGGATCAAGCAAGAGTATGTCTGTATGTGTGTTAAGTAGCAGCACCCAAATAGTGCCGTTTACTAGCAACCTGTTGTTGTTGCTGTCGGTTTTAAGGGAGTCAAGACACCTTGCGGTCCAACCAGGAATCATCACTAATACTACGTCATTGTGATAATATCATTTCGTCATAATAAGGCGGATCTCTCTTAGCTTACCTGCTAGCTATTCCATATATGTAATCTCTATACCAAGTACTGTAAGGTGTTTGTTACACAGGAGAACATTGACTGTTCTTAGTCATGATGAAGCTCTTTCGTGACAATTAATTGCATACTGTTTTAAGTCCCACTAGGTACTCGCACCCATGGAGTAAAATATTTCACAAGTAAATTCGTATGTCATAAACTCAAGATCAACAGATTACTTAGCGCTCCGCTATGGTTATAATTCTCCAAATACATATAACAAAATTCTAACATTGCGCTAACAACCGAATACAAATTGTGATTTTTGTATATCATACTAATGTCATACGAAATGCGCGTTAGGTTGGAGTATTCGTTACAAAACTCTAAAATTGAGAGCATCTTGAATCTTAAACTCTTCTTCTCAAACAGAAGCTTTGTATAGAGAAGTGGGTTTCACTTTTCAATGAAGTGTTTTGGTGAACTTTGTCTGCTTAGTAATAGGTTGATCTGCAAACACGTGGAAATGGTTTTTGCTTCAAAGTGTATGTCAATGCAACAAGGCTACATCGTGACCTTAACACACGTGCTGGTGTCACATTAACCAAAAACTTAGTTTAATTTTTGTTATTTGATTTGTTCATTTTCTCTATCTCGTCTTCGCGTGCCTTGTTTTTACTGTTCTTTTCATTTTCTACTCAAGTTTTCCTTTTTTGGAATTGGTTATTCAATTTGTACTTTTCTCCATCTCTACTAAACTTGTATATTTTGTAGCTTTTATCCAGCTTGTGCTTTCCTTCATCTCCCATTTAAGGTATTCTATTTATTCATCCGATATTTAATTTATCCCTTTTTACCGTCTCTCTCCCCCAGTGGCACAGCGGTAAATCTGTAGGCTTATTACGCTGCAAACCGAATTTCGATACCCGTGGGCACAGTACAGATAACTATTGTATAGATTTGTGCTTAACAAGAAGTAAACATTTAACCTGCCATTATCTTCGTTTTAAAACTTGTTCTCCATTTTTTGCTCCAATTTTTCTATGTCTTCATCTTCCTTTTAACTTCTCTCTATTTTGACATATTCTTTATAACATGCAATTTTTCTTTTTATTTCATCCAAATTATCATTATTCATCTTTTATTCAACACATTTCCTTTCTCTACCTTCATCAAACTTATTCCATTTCTTCATTCCTATTGTCTCTCCTTTTTTTTAGATTTTTATTAAAGTTATTCTCTTTGTCCATTTTATTCGACTTACTCAATTTCTCCATTTCTATTAAAGTTATTCTCTTTGTCCATTTTATTCGACTTACTCAATTTCTCCATTTTTATTAAAGTTATTCTCTTTGTCCATTTTATTCGACTTACTCAATTTCTTCATTTCTATTAAAGTTATTCTCTTTGTCCATTTTATTCGACTTACTCAATTTCTCCATTTCTATTAAAGTTATTCTCTTTGTCCATTTTATTCGACTTACTCAATTTCTCCATTTCTATTAAAGTTATTCTCTTTGTCCATTTTATTCGACTTACTAAATTTCTCCATTTCTATTAATGTTATTATCTTTGTCCATTTTATTTGACTTACTCAATTTCTCCATTTCTATTAAAGTTATTCTCTTTGTCCATTTTATACGACTTACTCAATTTCTCCATTTCTATTAAAGTTATTCTCTTTGTCCATTTTATTCAACTTACTAAATTTCTCCATTTCTATTAAAGTTATTCTCTTTGTCCATTTTATTCAACTTACTAAATTTCTCCATTTCTATTAAAGTTATTCTCTTTGTCCATTT